GGGTAGTATCTGGAGCGGCCAGAGAGTGCAAGTGGGCAGTGAAGTGGAGGACAGGCACGGAGACACAAATGGCTGGCTTGGCAATGGCAGCTGAAGCCAGAGGCTATGCCAGGACTGCCGCCAATGCTGCATTACTATCTGCTGCCACTGGTGCCGGGAATGTTGCCCGTGCTGCCATTTCAAGCTCTGCGAATGGCGAAGGCAGTGATATTGTACGCGCTTGTCACATTTTTTCATGGCATAATTTTGCAATAAATCGTCGACTTTCTCTCTAAGGAAGCCACAACGGTGTAAAATGCATTTTGCATACTCGTCCATTGTAATATTGACAAATTTATATAATATTCATATTGTTTTCCAGGGTATGAGTTACTCACCACTTATATTTTACAAATGAGTGTCGAGGTTCCACAAGCCCTTTTGGCGTCAACCTGATCAGAACGTCGTTCTCACTTCACGCATACTGACGCAAATAGCCCACTCTCTATGCATGTTTTGTCGGAGTCTCGCCCATTCGCATAACTTGACCCGGGACCCAATCCGATCCGACCTAAACACGCCCCAGACACAATGGAATTCCTGTCTTGCCATTTTGGCGGGAAATTTGGTCTGTCGCGCATGGCTTCGCCCCCTCGTCGCACGCGTTTCCATATCGCCCAACCCAAAGTAGGTGGGTAATATTGTGGTTCAAATCTGGACATCTGCCCCAAACTTCTTATGGCAGTGTCGCACTAGCACCCCAGTTTATTTCAAGTGTGCCCACTTTCAAGAACGGCGCTCTTGAAGCCCCCCCCCTTGCTATTTTAGCCTGTGGTTTTAAGACAGTGGAGTGTTGTGTGATGTCATCATATGCTATCACATTCTGTCTGCCTCCCATCCCATGTTTTCAACTTGCATGTGTGGTTTGAATGTGAAAGAATTTGTGTGTGGTGTGTTCTGGAGTTTGGGAATGTGTTCTGTGTTATTTTTGTTTGAGCAGGTATTTTGATGATAGATCTTGAGAATATCTTTCCGACGCAACAAGAATCGCTTCAATCGGAGCAAGAACGCGAAAGCTATGAAGATTCAAAGTTCATGAGCTTGCGTTACAATTGCGGCGGTTACAAAGTGAAGTTGTGGGGTGACTCTATATGGAGTTGGGACCTTTGGGGTTGGGGAAATTTGTCACTCTACTGTAACAGGTGCAAATTGGTTGGGAACAACCAAGCTAGGTTGGCAAGGGTGGCCAACTTGGATGGATTGGTTGGGAAGGGACAAAGGTCAAAGTTGAGGTTCCTATAGGGAGGGAATCTTTGTGCTTATGGGGTTTCCTTGGTTGGGGACTCTCTTGGGACCTTCCCTCTCGTCCCTCTCTTTCTATCCCAACCTTTCTCTTGCTCCTCTAATTCCTTGTGAGATTCTTGAACTTTGATTGAACTCTTGAGATTGAGTTAAGTTCTCCTCCTACAGCTTACCCCCTAGTGCGTCGAAAGCCATAGCGTCGCGAATACTTCATCAATCAACATGATTCAAATTGTGAACGGTAGCTGAGATTAAGAGCTACAACATATCCAAGTTTCGCGACATTCCAACGGCTAGTGTTTTGTCGACGTCGTTTCTTGTGAAGACGACTTTTCTGTCCAGAATTTCGGATTTATATTTTGAGTAATTCTAGCTCCTAAGTTCACCTAGACTCCGTCCTTAATCCTAATAAGTGGTATCAGAGCCATATTAAGGATATTGAGAGGAGTCTACAGAAGTGTGAAGACCCTTCTAGACCCACCATGGCCTGTGGGTGTGCCTAAGTGGTGTTCTAAAGGTTGGATGTGTCTTCCGCTAAAGGGAAACTCTGCCGAAATTTCGTGGACGCCGATACTTGTGAAAATATCGAGGGAGCTGAGTGGGGACAGCAAAGGGGGGCTGAAATTCGTCATTTCTCAAGGAGAAGATGAATGAGAGAGGAGGAGATGCTAATGGAAGAGGAGCTTTAGCTGAGAAGGCAAGTGAGCCGCCGCCATCAAAAGTTGAAGCTTTGGATGGCTCCAACTATGAGGAATGGAGCGGACGGATGAGGAGTGCCTTCAAACGCTACAAGCTCCTGAAGATTGCTGTTGGGGAAGAGAAGATGCCGGAAGAAGGCGAAGCACGTGAACGGTGGATTGAGAAAAGCGCGGTGCTTTTCGACCTCATTCTTCAATCGGTCAACAAGGAGATGTTCGAGCACATCAAGGATCTTGTGGAAGCGGATGATTCGGGTCCAAGGGCGTGGAAACTACTACGTGATGTGATTCAGCCCAACACTCTCCCAATGGTGATCGTGCTCGAGAAGGAACTTGCAGCCATCTCCATGCGACCAGGGGATGATGTGAAGCCGGTCCTTGACAAGATCAAGGACACCTATGCAAGGATGGCAGCAGCGGGTAGCAGTGTATCTCAGCTGCAGCAGTGCACCAAGATCATCTCGGTGTTGGACAACTCTTGGGACAACCTCATCCCCACCCTCAACTCTCAGCAAGATCAATGGACACCTGAGTGGCTAAGGCAGCAGATTCTGCAGGAGGACTTCCGCAGACGCCATGTGGGAGGCGGTGCTGCCACTAAGACTGCTGAGGGGTATGGAGCTGCAGGGCGCGGCAAAGGAAGAGGGGGTTGGAGAGGCCGAGGCCGTGGGAGGAGCTTTGGCAGAGGTAGAGGCCGAGGTGACTATAATGAGGGGCATGGAAGCTCCAGTGGCAGGGGGAGTACCAGAATGGAGGGCACCTGCTGGTACTGCAAGAAGATAGGGCATCCTTGGTTCAAGTGCTTCAGCAGGCCGGAGGGATGGGCACCTCCAGGCATGAAGCCGCCCAGTGGTGAACGCGCACAAGGTGGCGCTGTGCAAGGCTCAGGTGCACAAGGTGAAGGTGCACAAGGTAATGCCTATCCTGGTTTGTTTCTTATGGTTGAGGATGTGCATGGGCATGAGGGTGATGTGGGATCTGTGGGAAAGGTTGTGATGCACCCTCTCACGCACTGGGTGATTGATTCGGGTTGCACCAGTCACATGACCCCACGGGCAGATTTGCTTGATGAGGTAAAACCCCCTGGGAAGATCAAGTATGTGGCAGCAGCGTCAGGTGCTTTGCTCCCTGTCATTGGTGTTGGAAATGCCAAGGTTAAGGGAGCTAATGGGGAGCTTGTGGGGCTTGGAAATGTTCTGCTGGTTGAAGGCTTGTCTGCTAACCTTCTCTCTGTGCGACGACTGCAGAAGAGCAAGGCCGAAGTGACATTTGGACCAACCAGCTGCCGTGCTAAGCTTGGGAAGAAGGTGCTGTGGAGTTTGGAAGAGGAGACCAGCTGCATCAAGGACCTGTGGCAGCTGCCCATCATCCCATGGAATGGGAAGACTCCAACAGCAGCAACGGCAGCAGCGGCAAAGGCAACAGCAGGAGGAGATGCAACTGCACCAACTGATGGGGTCCTGGAAGCAGTCAAGAAAGTGCAGCAGCAGCAGACACATGGTGAGGTGCTTGCTGGTGTGGATGCGAGTGCGGCATGGGCTAAGGCTTCATCAAGGAGTGGAGAGGCCGATTGGGAGACATGGCATGAGAGGTTGTGTCATGTGAACTTCCCTATGCTGCAGAAGTTGGTGAAGAATGGGAGCCTGAAGGGCTTGGAGGTGAAAGGGGAAGTGAAGGAGATTGGGAGCTGCCCTACATGCTTGGAGACCAAGTTCTCCAAGTTCCCCTTCAACAGTGCTACAGGACCAGCCAAGACCCCACTTGCACTTGTGCACATGGATGTGGTGGGGCCCACAAGAGCCCTTTCCCTCTCAGGCAGCCGCTATTTCTTGACAATTGTGGATGACCACACTCGTGCAGTGTGGGTTTACCCTTTGAAGAGCAAGGGGGAGGTGGCAGCGGCTGTCCTTAAGGAGTGGATGCCTAGAGCTCAGAGGGAATGCGGACACAAGGTGAAGGTGATCCGCAGTGACAATGGTGGGGAGTTCATTGGAGCTGATTTTGAGGGGGAGTTGAAGAGGAAGGGGATCCAGCATCAACTGACAGTGCCCTACAATCCGCAGCAGAATGGCGTGGCTGAGAGGTTCAACAGGACCCTGCAGGAGGGGGCACGCACTCTCCTTGGGCGTGCAGGGCTGCCTGATCCGTTTTGGGTGTCTGCACTGAGGCAGGTCGCCCTTGTGAAGAACAGGGTGCTGGCTACAGTTGGGGATAAGGAGTGGATCCCATATGCCAAGTGGTATGGGAGTGCTCCAGCGGTGAACATGCTGAGGGCATTTGGGTGCATGGTGGTGTTTCATGTGCCCAAGGAGAAAAGGGGGAAGTTGGAGGCTTCTGGAAGATGGGGTGTGCACTTGGGGATTGCAAAGGATCACAAGGGGTGGCTGCTATGGGACTTGACCACCCAGAAGTTGACAGTGTCAAGGGATGTGAAGTTTCTTGAGTCCCTGTACTACAAGGAATGGAAGCAGCAGCAACAGAAGCTTCCATCTACACCGCTCATTGTGGAGGCAAATGAGGTGCAGCAGCCTTCAAGACAGGTGGAGGTTGCAGTGTCAGAGGAGGAGATGTCTGGGGTGACTGAGGAAGGGGGAGCAGCTGAGGTGGAGCAGCAGCAGCAGCATGAGTCTCCATCTCGAGTTCCACACCCGCCTGAGCGACCTAGGAGGGATGTGCGCCCTCCGGTGAGGCTGACCTATGGGGGAAGAGGCAAGCCGAATGTGGTGCAGGCTGGGAGTGTGGTTGAGCAGATTGAGGAAGATGAGATCGCTCACTGCTACTGGGCACCAATCCCTGAGCCCAAGACTCGAGAGGAGGCTTTGAATGGACCAAATGGGGAGAAGTAGAAGGCGAGTGAGGATGAGGAGTTCGGGTCCCTGATTGAGAACGAGACATGGGACCTGTGTGACTTGCCTCCTGGGAAGAAGGCAATCACTTCCAAGATGATCTACAGGCACAAGTATGGACCTGAAGGGGAGCTGACCCGCTACAAGTCTAGGCTTGTGGCACGGGGGTTTCAGCAGACAAAGGGGAAGGACTATGATGAGGTGTTTGCTCCTGTGGGGAAAGGAACAACACTTAGGGTGCTGTTAGCGATAGCTGCACTCCTGGGATGGAAGATACGGCAGATGGACATTGTGACTGCCTTTCTGAATGGGATCATTCTGGAGGAGGTGTACATGAAGCAGCCAGAGGGGCTGGATGATGGGAGCGGCAGGGTCTGCAGGCTGAAGAAGGCCATCTATGGCCTTAAGCAGGCGCCTCGTGCATGGTATCACAAGTTGGAGGAGGCACTGTTGGCTGGGGGTTTCAAGAAGAGTGAGTGTGACCCCAGCCTGTTCCTGCTGCAGGAGAAGGACGAAATCCTCATGCTCTTGGTGTATGTGGATGATATCCTTCTCTTTTCTGCATCAACTGCTTTGCTGGACAGCGCAGAGCAGATGCTGGAGATGCAGTTCAAGTGCTCCAAGATGGGTGAGGTGAAGTACTACTTGGGGATGCACGTGGAGAGAGATGTGGAAAAGGGTGTGCTGAGGTTGCACCAGAGGAAGTACTGTGAGGGGCTGGCTGAGAAGTATGGGTTGCAAGATGGGGGAAAGCCAGCAACACCACTACCTTCAGGGTTTACTGTGGAGCCATGTGCTGATGAGGAGGTAGTGGGTGAGAGTGACAGGAAGCTGTTTCATTCGATGGTTGGGTCGCTGAATTATGCTGCAAATCATACACGGCCTGACATTGCATTTTCTACATCACGGTTGGCTAGTGTGGTCTCACGCCCTAGTCATGAGCAGCTGGAAGCGGCCAAGAGGTTGGTCCGCTATGTGAGTGCTACGGCATCAGTGGGATTGGAGTACAGTGGAGTGAGGCAGCGGTTGCAGAGAGGTGCTGCAGATGTGAAGAGTGGTGAGATGCTCTTGAGTTGCTATACTGACGCTAGCTTCAACTCAGTGAAAGCGGATGGCACCAGCATTGGGGGTTATGTGTGCTTGCTGGGAGGTGGTGCTGTGAGCTGGCGCAGCAAGAAGCAAAATGAGGTGGGATTGTCTTCATGTGAGACTGAGTACATGGCCTTACACCATGGGGCCAAGGAAGTGGTATGGCTGAGGCGTTTGTTGGAGGAGTTGGGAGTTGGTCAGGAGGAGCCGACAGTTGTGTTCTGTGACAATGAGTCTGCAGTGAAGCTGGCCAAGAATGCTTGTCTGCATGGGCTGACAAAACACATAAGGCCTAAGTGGCATTGGGTGAGGAGAATCCTTGATAAGGAGGTGCGGCTGGAGATAGTGAAGACCCATCAGCAGGCAGCAGATATTTTCACTAAGCGTCTGGCGGAGGCGGATCATTGGAAGGGCATGAAGCTTGCTGGGATGAGTGTGCATTGAGTATGCATGCTTGAGATGTGGTATGGTCGATGATGGTTGGCAGCCAGAGGGGGAGATTGTTGTGTGATGTCATCATATGCTATCACATTCTGTCTGCCTCCCATCCCATGTTTTCAACTTGCATGTGTGGTTTGAATGTGAAAGAATTTGTGTGTGGTGTGTTCTGGAGTTTGGGAATGTGTTCTGTGTTATTTTTGTTTGAGCAGGTATTTTGATGATAGATCTTGAGAATATATTTCCGACGCAACAAGAATCGCTTCAATCGGAGCAAGAACGCGAAAGCTATGAAGATTCAAAGTTCATGAGCTTGCGTTACAATTGCGGCGGTTACAAAGTGAAGTTGTGGGGTGACTCTATATGGAGTTGGGACCTTTGGGGTTGGGGAAATTTGTCACTCTACTGTAACAGGTGCAAATTGGTTGGGAACAACCAAGCTAGGTTGGCAAGGGTGGCCAACTTGGATGGATTGGTTGGGAAGGGACAAAGGTCAAAGTTGAGGTTCCTATAGGGAGGGAATCTTTGTGCTTATGGGGTTTCCTTGGTTGGGGACTCTCTTGGGACCTTCCCTCTCGTCCCTCTCTTTCTATCCCAACCTTTCTCTTGCTCCTCTAATTCCTTGTGAGATTCTTGAACTTTGATTGAACTCTTGAGATTGAGTTAAGTTCTCCTCCTACAGCTTACCCCCTAGTGCGTCGAAAGCCATAGCGTCGCGAATACTTCATCAATCAACATGATTCAAATTGTGAACGGTAGCTGAGATTAAGAGCTACAACATACCCAAGTTTCGCGACATTCCAACGGCTAGTGCTTTGTCGACGTCGTTTCTTGTGAAGACGACTTTTCTGTCCAGAATTTCGGATTTATATTTTGAGTAATTCTAGCTCCTAAGTTCACCTAGACTCCGTCCTTAATCCTAACATGGAGAACAAGGGAGATATAGTATTTGGGTTGCACCGTGTTGGGAATACCTCAAGGACTTAAGCGTTTCTGAAGTGTAACACCACACTCGAGTGAAGCCGTATCGAGTATGCGAGTCAACGGAGGTTACACGAGGAGGTTGGACGAAAGAACACGAAAGGACGAAAGACTCGAAGAGTCGCAACCGGAGGTTGCGACTGACCGTTACAACTGCAAGGGTGGTAACCGAATCGACCATTGAGTCGCTGTGCGACTCGATAACCGTTCCTTCAATTGTATTCTACAACTGCTTTACTTTCCTATTTTCTATATATTGCTGTATGCTTGTTTCCTTTAATCAATCACTTGCTCTCACATACTAGTGCAAGGGTTCAGCTACTCAACTTGTGCTGCACTACTCAAGCATCCTTATACAACTAGGACTTAGTCTCTGAAAGATCATAAGGGCTTTTTCTCAGCCCAACACACCCTTTAAGAACATACCCCTATCTAGCCTATAAGTTGACACACCCCCTAGGCTAGATAAGGGGTAGTGCTGAGCAGGAAACACGAAGCTCCGGGTGGCACTACTAGTCAAACATCTGAGGCAAGGGCTCGAAGACCAGTCAGCAAGGGTACAAGCAAGTCAAGAGCAAGCCAGGGCGGCACTACTAGTCTGACCACTGGAAGAAAGACCACAAGGCATAAATATAGAGGAGTACACAATCAAGGTCCTAGCAAGTGAGAGTCTACAGGGACTAGACCTAACTGCAAGCAGTGCCGCTGATGATCTCTAGGTGAAAGCGCCTTCGTAAAGATATCAGCTATGTTGGCATTGGAGGCTAAGTGTAATACGCAGGCCTGGCGACGCTGCTGGAGCTCGCGGAGGAGGAAGTACCGCAGCTGGATGTGCTTCGCTCTGCCCTCCAATCGAGGCTCCTGACACATGAGGATCATGGCCCTGTTGTCGGCGTACAGAACCAGGGCAGAGCTAGGCCGCTCACCTAAGTCGGCGATCAAGAAGGTCAGTCAGCGGAGCTCCTGTGCCGCCATGGAACCTGCGTAGATCTCAACCTCACAGCTAGACTGGGCAACAGACGGGGAGTGAGTGGACCTCCACGAGATGGCACCAGAACCAAGGCTAAAGAAGTAGCCCTGGGAGGACCTGAGGGTCTAAGCAACGTCTGCCCAAGAAGTGTCTGTGTGTCCAGTAAGGACTACTAGCCTGTGTCCTCCCAGCACTAGCCCCATTCCTGATGTACTCGCAAGATAACACAAAACCCCTTAGCGGCTGACAAGTGCTATGGTCGATGTCTGCCTGTGGCCACAAAGCGGGCCAGGATGCTGAGAGGGTATGCGAGATCTGGACGAGTGCAAGTCATCAGGTACATGAGGCAACCCACCAGCTCTGCGTAAGGACCACTGGGCTCTGCTGACTCCTCACAAACTAGAGCTGAGAGCCTGTGGTCTACCGGTGGAGGTGTGGGCTGTGCGGATGAGAACTGAAGACCGAACCTCTGAAGGACTTGGCGCACCAAGTGTGAATGTGTAAGAGTGATGGTGCGCGCTGCTTTGTCCCTGGAGTTCTGCAGGCCAAGGTAGCGGTGCAGCTCTCCTAGGTTACTGCAGGTATGTCTCAGTAGCTCAGCCTTCACGGAAGTCAGTGTGTCGCTGTCTGCAGTAGCAAAGACCAGGTCGTCTGCGTAGACAAGGCTGTAGAACGGAGTCTGGCCAGCATGAACGAAGAGCGAAGGGTCAGCACAGGACGGAAAGAACTGCAGGTCAGCTAGCGTAGCACGCAGCGTGCCGTGCCATTCACGAGGCGTCTGTCGCATGCCGTAGACCAGGCGCGGGTAGACCTGCTCGTGTAGGCTGCCCTGAAGAAAAGCAGTGGAGAAGTCGAGAAAGTGGAGCTCGTAGTAACGCTGTGCTGCTACGTGTAGCAGCTCCCGAAGAGTAGTCATCTTCGGGATCGGGGCAAAGGTCTGAAAGAAGTCCACCCCCTCGTGTTGACTGGAGCCTCTAGCCACGTAGCGCGTTTTGAACACAGGCGGCTCTCCAGGGGAGCGCCGACGGACAGAGGACAGGCAGGGTCAGAGACCAGAGCAGTGGCATAGTCAAGGCGGCGAGTAGAGGCGAAGTCTACGATAGGAGCGACAAGAGTGCCAAGACTAGAGAAAATAACGGACGGGTTGGCAACGAAGGAGGCAAGGACCCGAGGAACAAGAGGACGAGAAACACGAAGGTAGTCAAACAGAGGGGGTGGCACAACAGCGAGCGACGACAGAGGAGGCGAAAGCAAAAGGGGAGGACGAGATGCGTGGGAACGAAGCAACATAGGGTGAGAACGCTGAACAGGAGAGATAGGATGAGCACGAGAGGGACGGCGAGACCAGACGTGAGACGGAGGCGTCGGGTCAGGAGACAGAGGAGTAACAGGAGGGGAACGAGGGGGAAAACGAGCCGGGGACGAGTTTGGCGGAGGAAACACAGGACCGTGGACAGGAAGATGAGGAGACGGCGTGGGAGGCACAGGCGAGCGGTCAGGGGAGGGAAGGCCGAGCAGGCGAAGGGCAGACACCGGCGGCGACTGCTGCTGCTGCTGCTGCTCGACGCCGACACCTGGACCACCAGCTTCACCACTGCTACCTCCGGTACAGTCCACACGAGCACCCCCAGAATGAGAAACCTCTCCAGTGCCGGTGCCACCCCCGAGCCCGTCAGGACAAGCCATAACAGAAGCCCCAGAACCAGCACCCTCCTCAACTGCAGCACCCCCATTGTCCATGAACTGTTGCGGCTGCGACGACGGCTGCGGCTGCTGCGACGGTGGTGGCGGCAGCTGCGTCGGCGACTATGACGAGGGAGGAGGAGACACCGAGGGAGGGACAAGTGGCGCAAACTGCGCCGCGGGGCCACCGGAGTCTGCCGACTCCTCGACTGGGACAACCGACGGGAGAGGAGTGACGTGAGATACATCAGACGGAGCAGGACGGAGAGGGAGGGGAGCAGTGCGACTGTGGGAGTGGGCACCAGAAACAGGGGGGGGGGGAACCGGGAGAGCTCGGTGAGGAAAGCGGTGGTAAAAGTAGAGAGCCTCATCGAAAGTGGGGTCACGTGAGTGAAAGAAGCGGTGAGACGGCGGGTGGTAGAAGTGCCAGTCAGACGAGTCAAGGGGGAAACCGAGGAAGACACAGGGGACACTGCAGACAATGAGCTTGTCCATACTGGAGGCACGAACGTGAGCGAGGCAGCCCCAGACGTGGAACGCAGACAATGAGCTTATCCTGATTCCTTTGGTCTTTATCTCATCTCATTTGGTTTCCTATTCCTCCTTTTCCATTAGCCTTTGGTTTATCCTGTTATTATGATTATATCCAGGCTAGGGATGCACTGGCGCGCTATGTCTAGCGTAATACTGCCGTAATCCCTTAAAGCCAATAGCCTCGCGTGGCTATACGTAGGGTGATTCTATTTCTAGAAGGGTCTATTCCTTTTGGATAGGATAAACCTGGTTACCTTATGTACTCTGGAAGTATAAAAGCACCTTGTACTGATTAATAGTGGAAGATTGAGAAAACCTTTCCTCGACACATTCGATCCTGTAACACTTGGTAATCAGAGCCAAGGTTTCAGCTCAACGCTTAACCGCTGGGCCCCCAGGAGCACGCCGAGGATGGAGTCGAAACTTCTTTTCCTGTAAGTACAATGCACTTTAATTTAAGTTTCGACTGACCTCTCTCAGTTGCACCTGGGGTCCCCTTTGAAGGCGAGATGCCTCGCCGACCGTTCGATGGACTGCATCGACGGTGCCGATTTTTTCGTGGGGGCAAACGGTCTCGACCTCGCGGACGCGTCAGTTCTGGCGGAACACTCCCTGCGACATTCGGAGAAGGTCGCGGTTCGCCACGACACTTGGAGTTGCGCGGAAATCTGCTGAGCTTCGACCGACGACATCCGTCCGATGGAGATTCGACGCTTCAGATCGACCGAGGCGAAAACGACATCTATCTGTGCGAGTTTGAGTTTCAGCGCGAAAGGGAACGGGACATCGCAAGCCGCGAAATTCTTCGGAGCGTTGGATCGTTCGACAGCCGACATCGACGATCGAAAATTGCTGTAGGAAACGAGTCAACCTGTGCACCGCAAGCTGCTGAACGGGTCTCAGGAATATCTTCAAATCGATTGGAGTTTGTACCGTCGGATCAACGTCTGCTTGAACGCACGAGATGGAGCGCGACCTCTGCACAAAGGGAGAATGATGCCAGAACATAAAAGCAGCCGCCTTCGACGCCGATGACAGCATCTGGACTACCAAATTCGGATTCCTCCATTTGGTAACCAATATGGCGCAAAATCATGTGTCAAAGAATTACCTACTTGGTAATAGCTGCAAGCAGAAAACTGACAGGAGAACCTGGATCGTCGGATCGGTATGGAATCAATGGCACGAATGCAGCGGAGACCACACTATGGGAAAACATCACCATGGAGACAACATTCGTGACCAGAGACTGCACAATCGACACATCTTCTGACTGGTATCGATAACGATCGAGTTATTTTGACGAAGTCATCTTCGTTAAAAATGGATCGACATCAACATAGCGGATCTTCACCCAGGAAAAACAATGGAGCTGCGTGAAGACATGTTCTCCATCCATGGGACACTTCTTCTTACAAATTGATCGACAAGCTATGGGATTGCAGAGAAGTAGCCGTTTACTCTTGTAATGCTCCCAAGTTCAAGTTGCTGCGAAGGAGCAGATTTTGCACGCAACGACGATGCAGTGAACATGTCTTGTCAAGGCCAGCGAGACACTACTTCGTAACAGGAGCTGAACGATTCATCTTCATCAAGAATCTCAGCCATCCGAAGTGATTGGTTGGAGCAGTCTCAACATCAACCTCACGAGGCGACACACCAATCATGCGTCGCGATTCTAGGTGTTAATGACCTGCGCGGAAAATTCTCCGTGCATGTCATGATGCTTGACAGATTGAGGAGTAATTAACCTCTAATCTGGCAAGTACTCGTTCACTAGCGACCCTACGGCACATGCATTGGAGGCGATTCTACCAGAAGCCGAAGCGTAACTTCGACGATGCAGGAGAACGCCAAGCAACACGAGGTGTCAACAATTGAGGAAGATGCGGACTACTACAACACGATCACGCGCTCTACCGACTGTACATCGGAGGCACGGATGAGCATACCAGGAATTGCTACCTGTGGATACATTGAGGGGAGAAGCAAGTTTCTCTTCATACCCTCAAATGAAACAATCCCCAGCAGCAATGGAGCAACACATGTGTACTAATGTGCACGTGTTCTTGATAGTTACGCTTGTTACACCCATCAGGAACACTCTACTGGGAAGAGGGAGTTGATGGATTCTCCTTCAACCATTACGGGTTAAGAGAATTCTCTGCAGCAGCTGCCGCCGTCGCCATCGTCGCAACCACCGCCATCGCCGCCGCAAAAGACTCAAGACACAACAATCATATCCAAATCCTGATGGATGATTCTCCGCTCAATGGAGATAACACTGGATTATATTCCAGTATGATCGTAAAGACCGGGCTAGGTACAACATTGATTTCCAGCTAGTGGGAAGGAGATACCACTATGCGAGGAAACAACATGGCAATGTTATATACCCTTAAGAGCAGAAGATATTTGCTCTTATGAGGATGGGAGGACTACGGTATTCAACAATTATACAAGTCCTCATGGCCTATGGCTTTCCTTAAAATTATAAAACCTGCGTCGCAACCAATCCATCACCAGCACCAACTCTACGGAAGCAGATAGGCGTGAAATGGAGCGCCGATGCCACTCCGGATAGTGGGCTCCGCGCATCTCCAACAACACCCCTGTTTGCCGAAATGGAGCAGACTTCCACATTGATGCTGAGAAGTTGAGACGTCTTCAACATCAACGCTACTTCAAGGAGAGTAACAGAATGAGACAATACATAATGGCACCAGAAGACCTATCCCAATATGTGCGCCCAGACACCGATGCCTACCGATGGCCTCCGTGCTAAACTGGAAGTGCATAAGGTCATACTGGATTGGCTGTCAGCAATGCTCATTCAGAAATGGGAGAGGATTATTTGGGAATACCCCTAATATCCCCAATTGTCCTACCCCATCACTGTGGGATATCTACGCAGCCGAGATTCCTTGCTTGAGCAACCACCGAGGGAAACTACTTTGGCGCCGATTCTGGAAGTTACCAACTCCGCGTTTATGGTACCGGCCCCTTGCATGGTTTTGAACACAAGGGATACGCTGAGCAGCACTTCGCATGCGCTGTTGTACTCAAGGCAGTGTGACTAGCAGACCGCGTGGTGGACAGGGTTACTAGTAGTGATTTTTCTCTCCATCTCGCAGCACTACGATGCCGAGCGAGTACGACTTGCGACAACACCAAGGCATGGACCATCATTCGACAGAAGCTGCATGTGTCGGATACAACACTTCTACAGAAGCAGTACTATGGCACGACTGCCATACCACCAACACTTCGTGATCTTCACACGTGGACCAGATGCGGGTAACAGCATGCACAGATTGGACAACATAGCCGTTCATCTGCACGTTACAGCATACCGTTCCAACCATTCATATCTCCAACTGCAACTTGCACCTGCCCATAAATCACTAACGGCGATACACACCATCCTTCCTTACTGTGGACGGAGCTCACTCATTCCGTAGCAACAGACAGTTCTTGCTACAGTCCAACTTTCTTACGATTTCATCGCCATGTCTTCTGCATACCATCCGCAGACAGACGGACAAACCGAGCGTCTTAACCAAATTGTGTAGCAAATCCTCCGCGCAGCCTGCAAGGACGAAATCTTCAAGTGGGACTTGCATCTGCCCGTCCTGGAGTTTGCCTACAACAATGCTACACACGTCGCTACTAGACAGACGCTGTTCTTCCTTTGTTACGGACGCCACCCAATCACACCACAACAGCCAACCATACCAGCCACAGTCCAACCCGCTCATGATTTCGTCACGACCATGCACAAACTTTGGGATCAGACCCACAAGCGCCTTCTCGACATTCAGCAACAACAGAAGCGCCAGGCCGATTGCCACCGCACAGACCACACCATCACCGTGGGAGATCACGTACTACTCGACACGCGCACTCTTGACATCAGCCATCTTTCATCCAAGCTTCAACCTCACTTCTGCGGGCTTTTTCTCGTTGAAGCACAAGTCACTCCTGTTACCTTCCGCTCCCGCCAACCAGCCACTTGAAAGATCCATACCGCCTTCCATACCAGCTTCTTAAACCCTCTCAAGACCAAACACGCTCTACACCGAATGCCAACCACCGTCGTCGGCCGTGTTCATCCACGACATGGGACAACTACGTGCTTGGACACCGTCGTTGTCAGAATGGCACATTGGAGCTTCTTCCTTGCTGGAAGGGTTATGATACTTCTGAGGCTGCGTCTCTGAATCCGACATGGGTAACGCTCGTCGTCCTCTTCGCGACTACCTTGTCAAGCAGGGTGTTACTTCTACCACCCAGCTTTGAGAGGGGGAAGTGTGAGAGTACGACCCCGTTACACCAATTTCCCCTTTCCATATTTCCTTTCTATTTCATTCCTCTTTCTATCTCGATTCCTTTGGTCTTTATCTCATCTCACTTGGTTTCCTATTCCTCCTTTTCCATTATCCTTTGGTTTATGCTGTTATTATGATTATATCACCGACCAGGCTAGGGATGTACTGGCGCGCTATATCTAGTGTAATCCTGCCATAATCCCTTAAAGCCAATAGCCTCGCGTGGCTATACGCAGGGTGATTCTATTTCTAGAAGGGTCTATTCCCTTTGGATAGGATAAACCTGGTTACCTTATGTACACTTGAAGTATAAAAGCACCTTGTACTGATTGATAGTGGAAGATTGAGCAAACCTTTCCTTGACACATTCGATCCTGTGACACTACCGATGCATTGCTCAGCGACCCCATTTTTCTGTGGGGAGTCCGGTAGGGTGTACGTCTGGGTGATGCCCTCAGCAGGACAAAACTGACTCAGCCGGCCAGAGGCGAACTGGCCGCCACGGTCGGAGTGGAAACACAGCACATGGAGACCGCGGTGGAGGCACGCAGCTACGAGCCACGGGATGAGAATGTCATGCACGCCAGCCTTCCGCTCCAGGGGAAACACCGTGGTGTAGCGCGTGAAGTCGTCAACGAGCACAAGAAAGTAGCGCTCGCGACACGGTCCAAGGACAGGGGCTGGGCCCCAAACTTCCAAGTGAAGGGTCTGGAGGGGTGCAGTGGTAGGGCGAAGCGAGGAGTGAGGAGCACGGCGCAGCCGACCCTCGACACAGGGCGTGCACGGCGGCGCAGGTGAGGGAGGGAGAGCAGGGAGCGACACAGGGAGGCCTAGGACGAGACCGTGCTGAGACATGTGACGCAGACGAGGGCGCGCAGGGTGACTTAGGCGGTGATGCCACAACAGCGACGGGTGAGTGAGCGACCGACACGAGCAGGCCGCAGCAACCTGGGTGGACGCAGGACCGGAGGAGGACTCGCCCGCCGGGGGGGGGAGCAGTATCCAGCGTAAGCATGCCAGACACAGGGTCCCGGGGGAACGTTGCAAGGGGGGCACCTTAGGCGGTCTCGGTACAGACCGCGTACCGCTTGTGACTAGGGAGCATAGTGGTGACGCCGAGGTCTTGAAGACAGCCGACACGAACAAAGTTCCTGGAGAACGAGGGGATGTGCAGGCCGGTAAGGGAACCCCAGGGACCCGCCGGACAGGGAAGGGTAGTGTAGCTGCGAGCTACTACAGGACCAGAGGAGGGGTCAGCAAGCGCGACAGCAGCAGGTGCAGCAAGCGGCATAAGGGTGGCGTGGTCGCGGAAGAAAGAGGCTGACACACTAGAGTCGAGAGTGAAGGACAGCGACGCCGCAGTGGCTGATGACGGAGAAGCAAGGGTAGAGCCTAGGCTAGACAAAGCAAGCTGTCCTACGCTTGAGCGATAGTGCGCTGGGATGGAGCACACCCCTGAAAGATAGGAACGGCTGCAACACCGCTCGATTAAGCGATAGTGCGCTGGTGAGTCTCTATCTCAGATAGAGTAGTGACAAAGGTGGTCAGGGTGAGGTCGGCAGGGTGCTGACTAAGGAAGTGGTCGAAGGCAATGGCTAAGCGGTCTGGCAGGCACATGGCGATAAGGTACAGGGTAGTGCAAAAAGGTGGGGGGAAGGCAGTAAGCTGGGCCGCCGAGCTAGCAGCGCGGTAGCTGGTCTCTAGTGCACGGAGGTGAGTAGCGAGGTCAGCTACCATGGGGAAAGTGGAAAGATCAGAGAAGAGCATGGGTAGGATCAAGCGGCCGGCAAAGGCGGAAGCAGGTGTGGAGTAACGCTCAACAACTGCAGCGAGAAATTCCTTGGCGATCTCGACAGCGGTGAAGCGCGGATACTCAGATAGGGAGAGGTCATGGCTTATGGCAAGCTGCGCTACATCATCGCGAGAATCCCAGGCAGCGCGAGCGAGCGCAGCAGCAGCAAAGGCCTTGCTCTCAGCAGTGGTAGGGTCAGCAGGGAGGGGATCAGGCGCAGGGGGGCGGGGGAGCAAGCCATCAACATGCATAGCCAGAGAGTGCCCATCCTGACGCTGACCTGTCAGGTGCCGGCGGAGGTTGACGAGCCAGGCGGCGAAGTCGATCGCATGCCCCTCAGCGTCCAAGCGAAGAACGGCGTCCGCCATCGCACAGTGGAACAGCGGCACAGCGGCTCGGCGGCGTAGCGACACAGTGACACGGCGTCTCTGCGGCTTGGTGGCTCGGCGGCTCGGTGGCACCGCAGCTCGGGGTCACGGCGGCTCGGTGGCTCGGCGGTACGGCGGCTCGGCGGCTCGGCGGCTCGGCGGCTCGGTGGCTCGGCGAACTCGGCGGCTCGGCGGCACGGCAAGGGGCCAGCTAGAACGCGAGAGGCCAGCTGTGACGCGCGGGGCTAGCTCGGGCACAAGGAGGGGCCGATAAAGGCGCAAGGGGCCAGCTAGGGCGCGCGGGGCCGGTGGGGGCGCAAGGGGCCGGCTAGGGCCGGCTAGGGGCCGGCTGTTGGTGCAACCCTATGGCTTGCACTCGGCTTGTCGTCCTTGTTTGTGTGTGTGCATGCATGGCATGGAATGAATTGTGAGTCTATGTCATTGCTATCCAGTGCTTGTGTGTGTGTTTGAATGGTGTATCACAATGTGGTTTGTGTCGGTCAAGACATTAGCGAGTTTTTACAACTCGCATGTCAAGTCGTCGTTTGTGTGTCGCATGTGTTTTTTCTATTTTGTCGAGTGTGAAGTGTCCATCGCATCGCAGGTGTGTGCAGCAAGCCCCCATCAACTTGAGAAGAATTTATCTTGTAGAACCAAGACCAAGAGCTCAAGATTTCAAGCCCAAGGGACATGGATAAATATTAAATAGTGAAAATAGTAACGCTACTTCGTATAGTGTTACATTTCACTTGGTGTAGCCCCTTGGAGGGTTGGTTTCGAGGCTCTTCATGGTTGGGGACTATGTGGTGGTGTACCACCAACCTGGAACTCGGCTCTTGGAGTATGTAGAGGCTGGGAATCATCTCCATCTCGAATTCTTCTTGCTAAGTTTGTACTTCCAAGACTATAGTGGCTGCTATACCTCCTGCCAGTCAAACCGCCATAGCGTCATCAAATCTTCATGGAATTTTATGAGTCAACTTGCTGCTGATAGGCGACAGCAACGCGCTCTAGATCCAATTTACAGATCACCGTTTAAGGCACAGATCTGTTCGGCATCAATATTTGAATCTGTCTAATGGAATTCTGACTGTGCACAATTTCTCTCGTTTTAGGCACATCTAAGCCTATTGTGATTATAACAGTTTGTCGCCCAAAGCCTAGCACTGATGTGGTGATTGTGTTGTGTCCGACCCTACAGGTTGACATGACACTCGTGGCACACGTGGTTGAGCAAACCAAGATGCGGAACACGGCGCGCTACCTCAGCTCTGGCGCTGGGCACATCTTTGGCCATGGGGAGAAGCTCCATCTGCCAAAGTTGGTAACGGCAGAGGGCATCGACGCATGCGGCTAAGGACAAGTGGGTGATGAGGGCAGAGGGCATCAACGGTGACGAGAATCCACAGTCGTTCTCCTTCGAACTCCACGAGCGACCGCTGCCGGGGCACGATTCCGACAGCGACGTGACAGCTTGCTTCGAGCTTTGCGTGAAGTATGCTCGCTCTGTCAATATGTTCCACAACCGCCACGTGGACAATCTGCGTAACCTGAAGGGCACTAATGTTTTCCTAGACAAGACCTACCTAGATGACAACATCCGGCGTGTGGCGGCCTGTTTTGGCACAAGCTCCCAGGTAATCTAAAGTGCCTACTTCTCATCCATGGAATCGTGATTGCCATTCTAACATAACGTATTGTCGTTGCCTCACAAGTCTCCTCGAAACTGAACCCCTCCTCCCTCTTTGCCCTAAATCCCCCCTGCAGGATTCAACTAAAACAAGGTGACCATGGAGCTAAGGATGTTCACATCCACCATGCACTCGTAACATCATCATGAGGACTTCTTCCAGGCACTGAGCAACACGCTGCGTGACAACAATTGGCAGCTCAGCTACCCCAATATCATGCTCATGTGGCAAGTTGTTGCTGTTCTCTCGCTGAGCACTGTCGACTGCGAGCGCGGTCTCTCGAAGCAGAACCTGATTAATACCTGGGCGCGGGAAAGCATGGGCGACATCACCCTCGACCATCTCATGCGGTGCTCCCTGCTAGACTATAACGTGGAGTGGTTCGATGTGGTGGCCATCTTCAATAGAGAGAGCCCCACCGCACTATCCGAGACTTTCACCAGTACCATCCCCAGCTCGGCGCAGTTTGCTGAGCCAGAGAACGCAACACCCTCTGCTGCTCCCAGCTCAGTCGGGGGGGGGGGGGCTAGTGGGTCTGCAGAGTGAGCTATGTGTAGTGGCAGTATTAGTGACTGGTGTGATACTGACGGAAGATGCAGTAGTGGCTGCCGTGATAGCTGTAGAAGTTGCATGAGTAGTAGTAGCAGTAGGATATGTTGTTGCTGCATTGATAATGCTAGAGACAATGCGGTTGTATGCATGCAGGACGTGAAAGCACACCATAATAATGATAGAGTATTGTAAGCACATAAAAGGGTGTTTTAATTTATCCCTGGCGAAATAGTGTACTTGTTTTTTTTTTTCAAATTCATCCTGATTTTCAAAGGGTGCCGAAATTTTCACCCTAGGAGGCAATTCTTTTTTTTTGAGATACCCTGATTACCAAGGGTCCCCCTAAACCGATTTTGAGCCCTGGTTGGAAACCCTCTTGATCAATGCCCCTTGTTGTCGAGGTGATTTCTTGTATTCGGAGCTGGGCAGCAATCCGCACTGTTCAATACTCAGAACAAACTCAGGTGGCATATTTGACATGACACTGTGCTGCGCAAATTTCATTTTACGTCGTGCATTGTGCGCTGCACGACATGACACATGTTAGTTCTAAGTTTTAGGTTATGTTAATGGTCGTAACAATTTTGTACAGTACAGGAATCAGCTATGACCTATTGATCAAGATTGAAAGAACAACCTGTACAAAAGCATGCTAGCTGCCTAGCTCCACTAGCTAGTATGCGATCTTATGACCACACATCCTATACCGCGTTTAAGTTTTTTGGGTTGCGGAGCAACCTATTGCGATCGATTTGACGATATTTGTTTCTCAAGTTGCATTAAATAATTTTGATACTAATTGAAGGAAAATGATGGGAAATATTGGCAATATATTGTGGATGGCTCATCTAAACTACATAGCTTCATTAGCTTTGCTTGGAAAATAATTAAAACATGTGTCATATCACTGCTACAACATAATACTTGAAACGAAACAATGATGGAAAAGAGTTCATGTTTTCCATCATTTCCCGCTACGTGGAAGGGAGTAATTGAAACGTGTAAAAATATAGTGTAATATAGTAATTACACTATAATATTGGAAAATGAAACAAAATGATGGAAAACAATAACAAAAATGTAAATGTTTTCCATCATTTCGCGTGGCGTATTTTTGTCGCCGACAAAAACAGGTAATCACTTCCCAAGATAAGTGGGGGAAGTTGAAAGCCTAATAGACAAATCACACAACATTTTAAGCAATGCACTTTCCGATTGGAAGAAAATAGATTGCACCTATCATCTCCAGTTCAAGTGACTACACTCAGGGTGGGATGTCAAAGTACCTTACTCGAGACGATCAGTACAATCCTTTTTAATGCATACACAAAATGCACTACCCATGTATCATGCATGCAATAGCAGAATGAGAAGGGCAGCAATGCAAAGAAAATGGAAGCGACACAACACTTGGACTCCAAAATGCATCACGATGAGAAAGAAAGGCAACAACAAGTAGTGAGCAATTGAAACATGTCATGTGATGTGACAGTCTACTGTAGATAAAAAGCACTGTTGGAATCCAGAGATCCTTTCTAACGGCATTCCTGAAGCACCAACACACGTGGCAAAAAAAAAAGAGGAGATGAAAAGAACAAAAGTTTAGTTGAGAAGATAATGCATGGTAGAACTCGAGAAATGGAAATGAGGATTGAAGAAATGAACGACACATGAGATAGAGGTAAAAATAGGGACGAGAGAGGTAGAGAGAGAGAGAGAGAGAGAGAGAGAGAGAGAGAGAGAGAGAGAGAGAGAGAGAGAGAGAGAGAGAGAGAGAAAGAGAGAAAGAGAGAGAGAGAGAGAGAGAGAGCGAGAGAGAGAGAGAGAGCGAGAGAGGTGGGAAGAGAGGTAGAAAATGAGAGAGAGGTGGCGGTTAGTAGAGAGAGGGGGGCGGTAGTATAGAGAGATAGATACCAAGAGAGAGAGAGGGAGAGAGAGAGAGAGAGAGAGAGAGAGAGAGAGAGAGAGAGAGAGAGAGAGAGAGAGAGAGAGAGAGAGAGAGAGGGTATATAAACAGCCCAAAGACCATTCTCTCTTCATTATTCAATTTTTGTCTTTGACCGCTTCTCGGCCTTCGGTGTCGGCGCTCGCTCCGGTGAGAGAGCGAGAGAGAGAGAGAGAAAGAGAGAGAGAGAGAGAGAGAGAGAGAGAGAGAGAGAGAGAGAGAGAGAGAGAGAGAGAGAGAGAGAGAGAGAGAGAGAGAGAGAGAGAGGGAGGGAGAGGGTATATAAACAGCCCAGAGACCATTCTCTCTTCATTATTCAATTTTCGTCTTTGACCGCTTCTCGGCCTTCGGTGTCGGCGCTAGCTCCGGCGGAGCTCGCAGCGCGGCCTTCAGCCGCGCAGGACAGGGTGACAAGACAGCATGCCGAACGCAGAACCCCTATATATATATATATATATATATATAAATATACGATGGCGATACACCGGGCAAGGCAAGCCACCTAGCTCCTAGACTAGCTACGGCGAAGGGTGTGCTAAACCCGCCACGACCGCCACAAGAACATGCCGAGGATCAAACCAGCGAAGGCAGCTGGGCCAACACACCCTGCATGGCACGGAGTACAGACGCGGAGGCAGACACAAGGCCGAGAGCAGTCTCGCCCGCCCCCGCGCGAGAGAGGGCAGACACCGCGAGTGGCGCCGCTGCGGCCTCATCAACGACACCTCGCGGAGGGAGCAGGACGTATACAAGACCCCATTGTAGTCGCGCAGCCGCCTCCTCAACTCGTGCTCACTGACGCCGTGACAACACCGGGTCCCGAGCAACGGGCGGACGCCGCGCCAAGGCCACATGCAACACCTCCATCACCTTGGCGAGCCAACCCAGATAGTCCGCCACCCCGAGAAGCTGCTCCGCCGGACTGTACCGTGGCCTGTCGCGAGACCGGCGAAGACGGGGGATGGAGAGATGAGGATGGCACCGCCGGAGACGAACCCCACGAGGAGAGCCAACTGGCGAGGCGGCCCCACTGGGAACCACCTCGTGATGAGGAGCAGCGGCAGGAAATGGACGGTACGGCGGAGCGACACCTACGCCAGGACGATACCCGTGGGGACGCGGGAGGCGCGACAACCCCGACCGATAGGGAGAGGGCACACCAGACGAGTGCTGGACCTCCCAGACACGGAGGTGGCTACGAGGAGACAGCAGAAGGTCGAGATCCATCGGAACTAGCGGCTCGGGGGAGCACAGGAAGAGAACACCATGGAGAGGAGGCCGGCAGCCGCCAGCCACCAAGGGAGGGTAGTGCCACGAGGGGAAGGGGACGGCGCGGAGGGAGAGGCGGAAGGGGATGCGGAGGCACCCA